GCCATGACTCCCCAGGCTCCTGCTGTATTATAATGAGAAGGTTATTATAATGAGAGGGTTATAAAAGTGTGCAGAGTGTCCTGAGGCTTGCAGATATCTGCTTACATTCCAAGTGATGCTTCTCTTACAGTCGGGGTAACCTGTTACCCCCAACCTTTGTGTCTGTATCACACATTTTAGAAACTTGCCATCTTTCCCTCAGGGGTTATGTTAGGGTCTGAGGTCCGTTCTCCACTTATCAATTGTTTTCCTGGTGGATCCTCAGTTTTTGATCTCCCTCCCTCCCTCCCTCCCCAGGTAGGTTTGGCCTAGCATACTGCCTGCATCGGCGGCCTCTGCTCTGCAACTGTTGAGTTTCTGTGTGCGTGTTCGTGAGTGTGTATTCTGAGTGTTTTATTCCTGGTGAAACATTCAATGGTGGATGTATAAATCCTGAAGATTTCTTCACACACCCTTTCCAGCGCTAGAGTGTAACAGGAATCACTGCCACGATGCTTGAAGAATAGGTGAGCTCAGGCTCCATGAGGGCTGAGGCAAGGGAGCCGGCCTTTCAGGGTGCTGGGGGCCATTTTGGTTAACAGCAGCAAGGGAAGATCAGGCAGAGAGAGTGTGAATTACCCCAGTCTTCCTGCCCAACACACCAGGCTGCAGGCCATTTCACCCATTCCGGGGCTCCTCTGTCTCCCTCCACACCACCTGGTACTTTCTTCCTAACTCATGATTTTTACACATCGGTTTTTATAGCCTGTGGGAAAGCGCATGCTAACATAAAATATACCATCTTGCCCATTTTGGAGTGTGCTGCACTGTAGTGTTAAGAGCGCTGGAGTTCCCCAGGACTTTTCACCTTGCAAAACCAAAACTCTGCCCATTAAATAACCGCTGTCCACACCCTCTTCCCAGCCCGACAACCCCCTCCTCTGGGCCCCTCATGGAAGCACACTCTGGACAGTGTCGGTCCTCTCTGTCGCCTCCAGTCACGTAGCATTCCTTCACGTCCCCTCCATGTTGAAGCATCCCGTTCTTTGCAGTCTGTCCGTTCATGCTTGGCAAACGTGCTTTTCTCAGTCTGCTTGTCATTGGGCACATTAAAAAGTCCAGACCGGTGAACACGGGAATGGGTCCTATCAGAACTGCCCCAGCGTTGGCTTTACAATGCACCCCATTTTCACAGTGATTATTGAAGCTCGTGGGCATAGGGCAGATACCTGACAGACTGTATCATGACTCCAAGAAGTACCTCAGGGCCCTACCACCTGTTGACTTCCAGCATCCCCTTGGGAGCGCAGAAAAGAGCATGAGGCCCAGGAGTGATTGAATACCGTGGGTCTCTGGGGGATACGCGGCGTGCTGTTGCGGAGATACCGTGCCTCTCTCGGGTTTTGCTGCTTCAGCACTGGACTCAATAGTCAGCAGAACACTGTTCAGAAATGCTAGTTCAGAGACAAGACAGACTTTCTGGCAGGCAAGTCCCTCTTAACCTGTTGGCCTGCTTCCTTTGTCACCGAGTTGGTAAGGTCACCCTTAGCACAGTATTGAAATGAGACATTTGCAGCGCAGGCGTTGTATTGTTTCTACTAATAGGAGCCCACTGTCTTCCACATATGGTTAGTCAGATTGCTTTTTCTATCCTGGGACTCTGCCTAGGAGAGATTCCTAACAAAAGACCTACCCCGGGAGGGATGGCTAAGGGTTCTGTGTGGGAAATGAGCAAGGGGACGAGGCAGAGCCCCGGAAGCCCAGGTGTGTGTGCCTGGGCTACCTGACACTTGACACCCGGGACTGTGGCTGCTCACGCCACACAGACTCGGGGAACAGTAGGCTCAGTGGTTGACTGCTTGGTATTCCTGTCACCAGCCATGGGAGCTTCAGTGAGACGGTAAGAATTTACCCAGTGCGGTCCTTCCTGGCCGTTTTGGGTGGAAGTGACATTGGCCAGCCACTTGTATTTACAGGACAAGGTTCAGAGCCTGTTTTTACCGTCACTCCTCCTCTCCTCTCTTGATTTGCAAAAGGGGGCGGGGGGGGGGGTGGCACAGCCCCTCACAAACATGACGCCACTATTTCTCTGAATGCTTGTAGTTAATATGTACTTTTAAGTAATTTCATTTGAATGTATTTTTAACTAACTATGAGCTCTAAAGGCCAATCAGCCAGGGATGCCTCCAGCTGCAGGAATACAGATCAAGTTTGTGCTCTGCCAGCCTGCAGCTGGAGCTGGGCCATCAGCTTTCCTACAGGCGTCTCTTGTCTCTCTTGATGGCATCAGAGGGAAGTATGAGGTCACAGATAGCGTTTTATTAGGTCCCATCCCCCCCCCGTCTTTTGTAGCACCAAACCCAGTTCTCAGTAGGCACCTGACAAATCCTCAAATCCGTAACAGCCAGATGACACCATTTTGAGGGAGACCTAAAAGGAACATGTGGAATATGGCACTGGGGAATGCCCAACTCACTTAACCATTGTAGCACACACACACACACACACACACACACACACACACACACACACACACACACACACACACGCATGCGCACACACACACACACACACACACACACACACACGCACACATGCACCCCTACTCTGTGAATGCACCAGGTACTGACAGCAAGGGGCCACTGCAGAGTGTGCTGGGCCAAACCTCCCTCCACCACCTGAGGACAGACCAGAGGGACAGCGGATCCCAGTGACCGCAGAATACTGATCAGTGACTTAAGGTGTTAAAAGGGTGCTGTAGAAATCCTCCGGTAGATTCCTATCATACAGGGAATTTTCCTTATCTAAAACCACCCAGTTTATCTGACCTCAGCTGCCCATATTTGCTCCAGCCTGGCTGTCTGCTCGGTTTTCAGCCAAATCAAGGTCAGGATAAAAAGAAGCTTTGGGTGGCAGTAAGCTGGATATTCAGGCTTCTGCAATAATACTCAATTATTGAATTCTCCAGAAGCAGTGAACTCCTCTGTATAATGAAGTCCTCAGTTCTTAAATATCTTTATGAAGCAGCCAGTTCAGTATTGGCAGTAGCCCTAGCTTGCTGTTTCTTGCTTTATTATAAAGATAAGATGGTAGGTTCTGGGAACTCGCCGGCATTGTTAAAGGCCAGCTTAAACATTTTAACGCGCCTTGTTCTTCCTGACTGAGCCTTAAAGGGCCCCCAAATACCATAAGAAGGGAACCACACAGGGAGAGAAGTGAGCTTGCCATCATTGTCCCGTAGCCCGGAGCCCCCAGCTAGGTCTGCTACTGTCCCATGAACCTCCTTGTCACCTAGCCCCACCTGCCTGGGCTGAGAATCTGGGCCTTAGGGAACACATTATTTCTGATCACTCTTAGTGTGGGGGATCCAGGGCAAAATAAAACACTGCATGTACTCCTCAGATCTGCGGGTTCTACTCAGAACCCCACAGTGGAGCCGGCGCTACACTAGAGTAAGTGACGCCGTTTTCTGGCTTCCCCAATACATAGTTATATATATTTCACATGGTATGTACAGTAGTCTATTATGCTTGCACTGTTACTACATACAGATGCACAAACCCCAATTTAAAGCTCCTTTGTTGCTAAAGAGGCTAAGGATCATCGGAACTGAAGACAGTGGTGCTGATACAGTTACTCCATTCGGTGTGCAGACCTCTAATTCATTTAAGGGGGGTGGGGACCAATCTGGAACACAGTGAGGCGTATGGAAGTGAAGTGCAGTAAAACGAGAGATGCCCGTGTTTGCAAGCACACTTGACACTATCATGCCACTTAATAGCATTTTTATGTGGTAGCTCTTTTCTCTTTCCTAACTCATCCTCAATCATGTACTGTGTCCCTATAGCTATGACAGTATTTGTACCTCTAGTAATGAAATTGTGCAGGCAGAATGCCACTGCCGTCTCCCTTCCTTGTTAACAGTATCGCTATCCTTCACAGCCAGACTCCAGCTGACTACCCAAGCGTTCTTGTATTCACTCGGGGTGGTGTATGTGTGTGTGTGTGTGTGTGTGCGTGCGCACGCACGCGTGAGCACACGTGTATGTATGCATGTGTGTGTTGTTGTATGTTGTGTGTGTGTGATGGACTTTGTATTTCTCTGGACAATTTTAATTTGTTAAATGTTGAATGTGATTGATGCTGCATTAACCAACATCATTTGCCGTATACTCTTTGGGTGAGAGTAATTTAAATCGCCTCTTGGGCTGGATGTGCTAACATTGTGAGCCGATGGCTTTCTAACATTAATCTTAAGCAGCTAGTCCTTGATTGAGGACAACCCCCTTTCCACTCGGAGGGTTTTTTACTAAGATTGGGTGGCTATAAAGTTTCTCACTGACTGTCTTAGGACAGTGAAAACACTCATCTAGAAATGCAGTGAGTGCCATAGTGATATATTGATCTCGCTCCTGTTCTTGCCTCTGCTGTTACTAGAGTGTGGGTGGCCACATGTCTGCAGAGTGTTTTATGGGGTATGGAGCGCAGCATTTTAAGTCAGGAAATTGAAAACAACAGAAGGGAGGGCAGGGGGTCAAGGTCACATCTGTGTGGAGAGGATTTGGTAGGAGAGCCAGCAAGAAAGGCCAGCTTGGGTACAGTGCATACAAGTTCTGATGTATAACCCGGAAGCGCCAGCAGCCCTGGTCAGTCACAAGACATGGACAAGACTCGTTTGCCGCCTGCACCCATGAGTTCATGAAGAGGTTAGCAAGCATTCCTTGCTTCCTGATATCACCAAATCAAATCACCAACCACATGCATTTGCCAGTGGCCTGCAGGTGATCTCAATGGCCAAGTGTGACCTTGGCCAGGATGATAACCAGAATATTCACACAGATGGTTTTACTGTGGGGAAAGAAAGCCTGTTTTTAACCTAATTATTTTTCAAGCGTGCCTGGGGAAATGTTTCAAGGCCACCATGTGTGAAATTTGGAGAAGGGGTTGCCAGGGAAAGGGTCGCCAGGGAATGAGGTGGATCCCCGGTCTCAAACCTCACACACATCTGTGTTCTCTTCCAGCACATCAGGTCCACCCATCTGGCCAGGCAGTACCTTCTTCAAGAGAAACGGAGCCCTTCTGCAAGGTAGGTGTCTAGGAGCACCGCCTCCTGTTCCTTCATCTCCTTCCCTCCTCCTCTGTGCGCGGTGCCAGCCAGGGCTGCTCCCTTCTGGTTAGCAGGGGCGGCTCTCTGGAGAGGCATGTGACTGCTGTGTCCTGGTTCTGAATGTCTACTTGGCTCCTTCCCGCTCAATTGTCTTGGCTACTGTGAATTATGTTTGAAACCAGGCCTCTGTCCCAGGACGGTTTCTTTGATGGCGTTGGAGTATGACAGTAGTGCACACTGGGCCAATAAAAGCAAACTCGTTGCATTTTTCTGATACCTGGGATGATCAAGGCTGCTTTGGGTGTTTGGACACTTTTTGCCATTATGGAGATACATTTGTTCCCTGCTGTCTAACAGTTCCTGTGTACCTGGAAGGTTGGCTGTGGTTTGTTTGTCCCCTCTGGGGACAGTCGGTCATCTAGGGTCATCTGCTGGGGGACTGTGTTCCAACCCATCCTCAAATGTGGCGCTAGTTCCTGTCGAGGAATTCAAACTGTCTTTCACCTCCAGTTTTGCTGTTAAATTGCTTTGCGACGCTGAAGTTGAAGAATGGGTGGTTGAAAACTGATAATATATGCCCGATTCTTTTAGAAGTAACTTTTGGGTTATGGCTTGTGGATGTTTGCTCTATGGGTAAGTTGGCCCTGGGATGTCATCCTTGTTGACTACCCTGGAGTTGGGGATGAGAGGAAGCACAGACACTGAAGGCAAGTGGACAGGAGTGTACCAAGAGCTTCAGAACTGTGTTGTATGATGGGGATTTGATGCCTTTTGACTGGCTGTTCAGCCTGTCTTGTGAAAGGGTACACTGAAGTGATCTGTGTACATGAAGGGTCAGATACTCCTGCGGTTAAGAAGAGGCATTTCCTATACAGTTTCTATCCAGTAACAATGATGAGAGATACGGTTCTCTTTTCATGCTTTTTAATAACAAGTGAAATTAGGATCCGGAGAGTTCTGGGTTAGTTTTGTTTGTTTGTTTGTTTGTTTTTTTCTTGGTACAGATAAAGTTGGGTAAATCCTACTCACGTAGTCTCATTGGTACCCTAAATGTCTAAAAAACAAAAGATAAGGAATTGGCACATGGTTGCTAAGGTTGGGAACAGTGTTTGGGTCACCCTTTGGGTTTTTCTCAAGTGAAGTACAGTGTCTCCCTGCATCTCTGCTCTTCATGTAGAGATATCGTAATGGCATGGGTATCGTCCACCTTTGGATTATTTTCACAGTTGGGATTTTGCTTGCTTAGAGCTTTTTCTTACAGAATTCAGTCTGCTCCGTTCCACATTAGGTAAGATTACTCTGTGGGGATCAGGGTTTTTGGGTTGTACTTGTGACACAAAACCATGGAAAGAGTCAGTAATGCCTAAAGCTGAGTGAGTGCAGGGGGTTCTGTTTCATGGGTGGATGCATCTTACTGGGAACTAAAGTAGTACAAGTTTCAGATGTACATAGGATCTACATTCAGTTGAGTAAGAGTGTGTGTGTGTGTGTGTGTGTATGTGTGTGTGTGTGTGTGTGTGAGTGTGAGTGATTCATAACATGGCATTGCCAGAGAGGGAAACCACAAGCACACACAGCATAATGAGGACATGGTGCTTGCTGGACAAATGGCATGAGATAGCAGGTACTCCTTGATCAAATCCAAATAAACCACTGTAAATAAGAAACAGTATAGGGCTTCACCTACTGCACTGTATGCTTAGCAACACAAGTCACAGTGGAGTGTCAGTGGTTTGTCCTTGTGAACATGTGGCCGATGGCAGTTGCCCACTGTCGTTACTGCCCTAAACCTCTCATCTAGGAAAGATCAGTATCGAAAAGACAGTTTCTTTCTTTTCCTACTTTTTGGAGTTAGTCTCATGTAGCTCAGGCTGGCTCAAACTTGCTATGCAGTAAAGGCTAACCTTCAATTTCTGGTCCTTTTGGGATTACTCTTCAAGGACAGCTTCCTTCTTCCCAGGCATATAGTTTTCATACCATCACAAAATTGAAAAAACATAAGTCGGGAACTTACTACGAGGAAGTACATGGAAGTGAAAACTCGAATTATGTTGAGACCAAAGCGACATAAATGATAGTTACAAGCCTTTGGTTGTTTAACAGCTGTTTGGCTTATGAGCTGTTGAACTAGTATATTGGTATTTTCTAGCATAAAACTAATAGGGAGAATTAGCTAGAAGTGCTCAAGGTCTTCCTTGAACCTCAAGTGTGGCACCATCTTTTGGTTCAAAAATCCCAGGCAGGCTGGGCTGTTGAATCACCTCTCGGTTTGAGGATAATGGGGGAAGATTTGGTTTGGATTACACCAGGCAGGGCTACTTCACATAATTGGTCATTTCATCAATTCAGTGTTTATTCTGAATGCCATTTAGGCTGTGAGAAACGATTTCAGTGTTCTAGCAGATTCAGCAGACTGGAGAGCCCTTCAGCTTTTGTACAATAGAAACCAAGCAGAACCTCACAAGGGGACAAGCCTGTTGTCTAACAAGGGACCCGGGGCACATCTAAACACAAGTGGGTCTTACTCGGAGGCTTGCAGGAGTGGCCAGCTGGCAGGTGTCTCCAACAGCTCCTGTATCTTCGAGTGTCTGTGTTACAGCCTGTATGTGTTCGGATTTTTTAAAAAATCCTTAAGCGGTGTCTTATTTTCTTAGTAAAAGGAGTAAATTCTTTTTAAGGATTTCTCTTTTTCCACCCCACCCCCAACCATTGCAAACTTAGAACTTAGTTTACTTCATTTAAATGTCACCATGGTTTGAATTATTTTCATGGCTCTGTGTTTCATAATGAAAGATTTTCTCACCCTGGTCTGCCCCTTCATCTGGCCTCTGATGGTTTCACCCTAAGAGGACATAAAACGCCCCCCCCATGCCCATTCAGCTTCTTGCCTTCTGCTACAACTTGGTACAAGCTGGACCTGACCTTCCCTGCTGCCATTTCTGTTCCTTCGTCTCTCTCAGGCCTCATAGCCCCTGAACTTGCCAGAGTTCAGTGAGAAGCTGCTGACTTTACAGTTGTCACTCTGGCTTGCTTTCATCTCCCCTCTTCAACAAAGCGCCTCCTGCCCTGCACCCACCCACACTACACTCCCTGTGAGCTCCTCTTGTCACGTTTGTGTCCGGCTGGAGCTGCCCAGGTGAAGTCCAGGGCCCATCTCAGTCACTCAGCCCAGCTAGAGAAGGCCTGGTCCGTTGTAAGAAGCCAGCTGCTGTCAGTGCCGACAGGAACTGCATCTCAGACTTGCCCAATCAGCGAGCGGCCCATAGCCTGTCTCCTCTGGCTTCCCCTCCTCACCTTCCTTCACTCTAGCATTGGGTCACTGTTATTATTATTACTACCAAATATTACCAAAACAATATTGTTATTACCAAATCTGTGTTTGTCCCTAGCATGCAGTGAATGAATCAAAGTAAATCTTATCACGCACAGCAGGTTTTTCTTTCTTTGGCTGCCGACAACCCACAGGATAAGCTAATGCAACGGAAAGAAATCCTTAGAGGGGTTTCCAGCGCACAGTGCAGGATTAAGCTGCCACAAGCCCAACAGCAAACGGGTGGAAGGAGTCTGGTTCTCTTGCTGCCAGATGCATGTTGTTTCAGGGTGTGCACAAGTGCCGTTGGTAAACCATGCACGAGGGCGGCTGCGTCAGAGATTGGAGCTTTTCATGTTCTGTGCTGGCTTCGCTCAGCCCCCCCCCCCCAACTCCACAGCCTTCATCTGCTGTTGTATCTCGGCTATGTGTTTTACCACTAGATCCGTGAGGGCATTCCCATTTGATTTTACTTCATGACACAAAAGGCTCAAGGGCAAAAACGCAGGTTCTGAGTCAGATTCTCAGTGAACTCCATGACTTTAGCCAAGTGAAACCCAAGCTCCATTTTTCTTCGCTTTAGATTCAGGAATGTCCATCCCTCTGGGACAGTTTCCTCTCTGAGTACCAACTCTGGCCCATCCTAACAACTGTCCTATAAACAACAGACTAAAATGAACCATGGAAGAAGTGTTCCCTTTAGTCAGATGTCCTCTGTGGATCCAAGATGGGCAGAGTGTGCTTGTAGGCTGCCTGGACAATCAGTTGTCAAACAAGACAGTTCTCAATGCTCTCACAGCTTGTCAGGAAACAGTGTGGTATAGATTCAAACAACCTGGGAGGAAATCTTGTCTTGGCTTCCTAAGAAAGTAGCTTAACCCATATATTAGTCCAATTTCTGTTGTTATAGCAAAATAGCTGGGTAGGGTAAATTATAAAGAAAAGAGGTTGCTCACGACCTCATCGTGTGAAATATATCTCTTGTGACTCCTCCTTCGACAAGGGCATCATGTCACATGGCATCACAGTGATAGGAACCCAGAGAAAGGGTCACATGGTGAGACAGGAAAGTAGAAAGAGATATTATTAATCTCGGATATGTGGCTGCTTTGCCTGCATGGGTATGTGTGCACCACATCCGTGCAGTGCTTACAGAGGCCAGAAGAGGGCATCCCCTGGAACTAGAGTTAGAGATGGTTGTGAACCGCCATGTTCGTGCTGGTGTCAAAGTCAGGTCATCTGCAAGAGCCACCAAGCCACTACCACCCCTGAGGGGCTTGTCAGGTTCACTTTTGGCAGCTCTCTCCTCCTCCTGGGAACTCACCCCTCAAGACCGGCATCAATCCCTTCGTAGGCCATTGTCCTTAATGATAGAATCACCTGCCTGGCGCCTCTGTCTCTGAAGGGTTCACTCCCTCCCATACTCAAGGAGAAACCCTCTGAAACTCTTCTCTGGCGCATTCTCCTCTGTTTCCATGTTGAGCGCCAACATCTCCTTCTGGGCACTCAGTTCTCATTCAAGGACCCACATCTCAGGTTCTGTTTGGGTTTCTGAGACACCGCCCCCTCCTGCCCCACCCCACTCAATCTCTTTCCCAGCCCTGGGCTCTCTGCTGTCTTTCATCTCTTCCACAAGCTGACTCTTTTGTCCACTATGCAAAGGAGGACA